GGGGGGGGGGTGGGAACACGGCGTGTTTGCAAGACAACACAGCATGTTGGAGTCAACAAGGACTGTTGACTTGACTTTTGACTTTGACCACATTGAGGGGTATTTTGGGTATTTTGGTATTTTGGGATTTTGATGGTTATTGGTCACTTGGATGGATAGGTATTGGTTGGAGCTGAGACTCGGAGTCGGGACCTCATTAGCTATGGATCAGATCGAGAGGTGAGTCTTCCTCACTGTACTTTCGGGTCGAAGGCACCAAGGCTGGCCCATTGGTTTGATGACCTGATATTCGTTGATATTCTAAGTATGGAATAGATATGCATGCTAGTTTGATATGCTAGTTCGGTAGATCTGTAGGACTGCCTGTGACACTGTTTGTATGATTATCAAATATGTTATTATCTATATATGTCGGCATATTGAGTTGGGTTGAGGTTGTACTGCTCTGAGCAGTAGCCAACAAACCCTGGAGCAAACCAGATATGAGCTGAGGGCTGGAGAGAGCATACCAGACTCATACTGAGGGCTCATTAGCATTCCAGATATGAGCTGAGGGCCGGGTAGGGTATGCCAGACTCATACCGAGGGCTCAGTAGCATTCCAGATATGAGCTGAGGACCGGTTGGTATGCCAGACTCGTACTGAGGGCTAAACATTTGTATGCTAGTCTAGTGACTGATTGGTCTAGGGAACAAGCCAGACATAAGCTGTGGGCCCCGGGGGCAGGCCAAACTTATGTTGTGGGCTCAGGAGCAAGCTAGATATGAGCTGTGGGCCCGATAGGCAACCCAGACTCATACTGTGGGCTTAGGGGTAATCCAATCTTTTAGCTGTGGACCCATCGCATGATGTTATTATATATGTGCTGTTTGATTTGTGTGTTGGTACTTTGGGGAAACTCACTAAGCTTCGTGCTTACAGTTTTGGTTTATGGTTTCAGGTACTTCAGTGGACCGTGGCAAGGTGAAGGCGTGACCGTACACATCCTCATGTTTTGGAACTTATGATTTCCGGGAAACTCTGATAATGGAAATGTTTTGAAAACGATGTTGTAAACGATTTTGATTTTAAATAATGTTTTGGAAACAATGGTTTTTGTAAACACCTCTTTAGTAATGGGTTGTTTTGAAATGTCAAATTTTGTTGAAACTTTTGGGATGTTACACAAAAACTATGTAGTCAAAGTTTATTTGTTTCCTGGCACTATAATGTGAAAGGCAATATCGTGGGTCCCCGGTGATTTGATGGTGATATTCATGTGCTAGGCCTACCCGGACTTAATTGATGTGTTCGATTAATAGTCTGATTTGATCGTCATAAATCAAAAATCGAGAAACAAACTGATAGATTGTTAGGTTGATTCATAATCCATGACTCAGTCCATAATGATATCTTGAAAGAAACCAAGTAAGATCACTCTGGAGGTAGGATCTACTTGGCTAAAAGATGTACCGTTTGGAACATCCATTTTAAGCACCTCACATATCTAGCCTAGACATCACTCACATAAATAGATCGATCAGTATAACGGCTGGTATTAGTGATAAGTCTTATTTATAAGTTCATAATGATGACTACGAGTATAAATATAAGTTACACTTAAAGCATGGTATATATAACTCAACTTACAGGTTTTCTGGTGAAAAACTGGAAACTGAGCGGGCAGAACTTCGATTTTGAACGCTCAATTTCATCGGCCTCTCTAATGTTCCAGAACTTCGCTACTAACACGTAAAAACTCCTAAAGTCGTGCCCCGGTGTTGCAGAAATGTTTGAGAGAAAAAGGAAGAAAAATATGGAGAAATGAAGCAAGAATTTAGCCTACATATAGAACTTTTCGAAGGGCTCGTC